AAAGATTTATTTATAAGTGAATATGAATGTTTGTTGTTTTGTTTCTCTGGTTATTTTATAGATCGTTGTTATTAAATACGTGATAAGTAAATAACCATAAATATATTAGTATACAATAACCCTATAGATATTTAAAAAAAGTAGCCATTCCACAGATTTGATAAGTTAGTTTAATTAGAATGACTTTGATGTGGTTATTGTTAGTGCGGGTTATTTTTATTACATCGCACACATTCATACACACATGAAACAATCAAGTACCTCGTTTTCAAAGGGGTCTTGGATTCGCGAATCTAGTTTTTGTTTATCCGAGCTGAACGAAAATCTCCTTTTGAACAGTTTCATCGTGCTGTCGTTGTTGACGAAGTGCGAACGTCACCTCTCGCGTCAAACGTTAAAACAATACATTATAACGTTACACAAATTTTCTTTGGACGCGCAAAGAAAGCTGTCGTTTGTTGCAAGTTTTAAATCGACTATTTAAAGATGGCGCGGAAATTATTTGGCGTTGAGGCGCCGTGTTTTGTACACGTGCGTACAACTGCGACGCATGCTCGCGGCACGTGCGGTGTGCGGTCCGATCGCAAGCGCGACGCACACTGCGAGGTGGTAGCGGTTGCGCTTGGCGTCCGCCGCTGCTGTTGACAACGCCTATACACCTTCACACTAAGCGCTATCAAACCCACCCCATAATCTTACTGCATTAATAGTCTTTAGTATATATACCCCTGCATTAATCAATCAGCACTTCTATCAGCCGAATACACTTTGTTTTTATTCGGCCTTGAACGTAACAAATTTTACGTTGTTTATAACCATAATGTTTTATAGTTTGAATTCTAAAATCAACTATAATTTCGAACCATCCGCGTTGGTATAAATCTTATTGCGTACGATTATAGAAATACAACATCCGCTGTTACTATAAACACAGCGTCGAAACTGGAGTAACTCGAGGTCTTGTTTGACACAAATGTCAATTACGAAGCATATGCTTAATTTAAATCGAAACGGAAAGTTTCTGGCGGGCTTTTTTTTTTGAAATCTACAGTTTTTTATTCTGTGTAGGTACCGATATTTATGAATTTGATTATATGTACATATTATGTTATAATAATACGTTATTAGTTTCTTTAAACATTAAAATAAAGGTTGTATTACAGAAAAATGGTTGCTTGTCGACGATAATATGATTTTTTTGTAAACCAATAAAATTATCAGTTTAGTTGTGTAGGCTAACCATTCTCGATATCTATTTTAAACTCCGCCAAGATTTAATTGACTGCAATAAACTGCAATTGATTGTGCCCCGTGAGCCGCGCTACAGACTAGACATTTATTATACTTGCTATTTAATAGGATTGTGCCTTTAATCATTGTTTAAATATTTCAGCATTCATTTAATCGAAAGAAACAATAAATTATATACTGTCCACTGAAATTTGTAAATTATTATTGATAGCTTCTGCCCGCGACTTCGTCCGCGTGAAATAATAGTTCACAAATAATGCTTTTTTTTAGAACAAATTTGGTTAGCATAAAAAAAGTTATAGTGAGCCAACCTTAACATATAGACATATGCTGTCGGGGACTTATTTTTAGATCTTTTATAGGAGAACAACTCTGTTATATATTATTTTTGCGAAACTTTAACTGTTCCTGCAGCGCACGCAGCGGCAGCTCTCAAAAGCGAAAAAAAACCCGATTTTGAAACATTATTGGTGCTCCGCTTGTATTAGTCTTAGCGTGATGCTATATAGCCTTTAACCTTCCTCAATAAATGGGCTATCTGACACTGAATTTTTCAAATCGGACCAGTAGTTCCTGAGATTAGCGCGTTCAAACAAACAAACTCTTCAGCTTTATAATATTAGTATAGATTAAGATTGTTGTTCCCTGTTGTTGCAAAAACATTTTGGATAATCCTGTTAAATTAATATCACCCAATCAAGGGTGTATTTCATATTCTTGCTACGGTCAGCATACACAAACTATTATTCGAAAAGTATTAAAAGCGCGCGTAGGTCAAAGTGTTTTATGATCTGTAGCTTTTCCATGAATTCAAAGAGCGGGACGAGTTCTCACACGCGTATTCAGAATCGACGGTACAAACGTTGTAAAATGCGTCCTAACCTCTAAACGGTCATTAGTGTTTGTTTGTACAAAAATCAAACAGGAATGGGAACGTAGAGCTTGGAATGTAGAGTCATGGTCACGTAAACCTGTCGATGTTTGATTTATAGTTAGACCTTTCCAAATCCTTGCATTGAGTCACTAGCTCAGCTTTATTTGTGGAGGATATTTAATACGAACAAAATTAAAGATATTGCACAAGGATCCAAAATTTTCAAATAGTCCAGTTTTTATTGCTTAGATGGGTGGACGAGCTCACAGCCCACCTGGTGTTAAGTGGTTACTGAAGCCCATAAACATCTACAACGTAAATGCGCCACCCACCTTGAGATATAAGTTCTAAGGTCTCAGTATAGTTACAACGGCTGCCCTACCTCTCAAACCGAAACGCATTACTGCTTCACGGCAGAAATAGGTAGGGTGGTGGTACCTACCCGTGCGGACTCACAAGAGATCCTACCACCAGTAAGACATGTTAAGACGTGTTACACGGGTGGGTGAACGAGCTCGTGGCTCAATTGGCGTTAAGTGGCCCATAGACATCACAACATGAATATTGCCGTCCACATCGAGACATAAGGTCGAAATATAAATTGTATACAGTCTTTCCTGTCCTACAAACTGGGTGGAATGACTGCTCGTTGAAGAAATAGGCAAGATGGCGGTATCTACCCGTATCCAGTAAAAAGGTCAGTAATAATTATGTGAATTACTTTATGTTACTAACTATGTAACTATGTTTGTATGCTGCAGTATGCTACACTGGCCTCCTTAAGTTCCTATTATATACTATTATAGTACTACTTCCCGACCATCATCGACTTTAAGAACGGGTGGTAGGTGTTTAAGTTTGAGGGGTTAATAAAAATTCTTAACCAATTTAAAATAAATAACTTCACTAATGTATAGTTACAATAACGATCCTAATGTCAAAGCGTTTTAAAGTCAGTGTTGTAAGCGCCATAAATTGTCCATACTTAATCTAACTAACATATATAATAAACGCGAAATTAACTCTTTCGCGCTTTCACGTCTAAAGTACTGAACCGATTTAAATGAAATTTGGTAAACAAATAGTCTAGAGCCTGAGAAAGGACCTAGGCTAGTTTTTAATGCGAAAAAAGACTTGTAACGGGTTGAAAGGAGGGAATGAAAATTTGTATGGAAGTATCGTCTTTTTTAGAGCTTGAAACTTATTTTTAAGCTGAGGATTCGATATAAATAAATATGACACTAAGTTTACACATCAGAAGAACATATAGATTATAATTTATAAAAAGATGTTTCAAGTAGAAAGGAAAAAATCTGCCATCTGCTAGCCATTATTGCGTGCGCCGCCATAACCGTTGGAGTTACACGTATATAATGTAAAATGGAAATGTTCATCTCAAATAGTCCTACAACAAAGCCCGTGACAGCATATATCTATCTTGTATTTGTAAGCTATTATTGCTAAAATAGTGAACCATTAATATAAGAAGAGGGAAGATTCGATTTTTTGTTTGTAACATTCTTTTTTATTGTGTTTATTATGTATGTAGTATGTTCATTACTACCAGGACCAGATTTGTACAAAAGAATATTCAATAAGACCAATAGTAAATTACAGTTCCCGAAGCGAAGCGGGAGCGGGTCGCTAGTTATTACTAAAATAAACCTTAATGTCGGTAACAATGAAATGTACAGTCGTGAACGAACAAGGCGGCGGCGTGCCGAAATTTTCTCAAATGGCGTGAAAATGAAGCCGGCACCGTGACCCGACAACCGTCCCACTTTCTTGTACTCGTGCCATAATCATAATGGATGTAATATCAGCAATTTCCGACAAACAGCCCTTTATATCAGCCATATCTCTCGGCTCGGGCCAATACCAAGTGCCGGGATATTTATCTTTTGTTGCCTGTTGTTAGTATCGACACCTTTAACACGGCCCCAGTGAAAATAATGCCGGTGTTTGTTTCTTTAAAATGTCTGAGTAAATAACTATAGCATTATTGTCAAAATTAAACTTTAAAAGAATTGGGTTCGTGAAATTGTGAACTTTCGAATTATGTGAAAGTATAGAGGTACCAGAGAAAATTTTATATGATAAATATTTTTAGGTTTTCAAAACTAAATGAACAAATTCCACGACAAACCCAACTTCCTATTCCGAACTTGTTTGTATTTTTTTTTACTTATCTGGCTATTTTAAAGAAGAGATCTCAAGGTATATTTTTGGGGCAATATCAATATGGCGATCACTAGAGTTCCAAATTCATCCACGAATTCAACACCACTTAAATTTGTCGCTAGTCAAATTAAAAATAACAATTTGGGTCAATTGTAGTAACGTATTTCTGTACAAGTCAGATTTTCTAATAAAAATAATGTAGATTCTTTCTTATAATGGCAATGCAACAAATAATATCGTATTCTTGAGCCGGTCTAATAATGAACTTAGAAAATCGATATCAGAATGCAACGAGTTTATCGTAACTGAGCTTAATTGTTTTTATCAATTGTTCTGGATTATTCGTTAATTTAAAGAAAAGAGCTAACCGTGGAATCAATTGGGAACTGCCGCTTAACAATTCAAAAGCCTGTATTTTCTTATCCTTAACTTTCATTTCAAATGTGGTATTTATTTGTTAATGTTTAGTTAGTTATTAATGAACCAATGGAAAGGACTGGAAGAGGCAAATGATATATTAAGGCTTGAAAGAGAAGATAGGAATCCACATCAACCGAAAAATATCCATAGGTCTTATCAAGCAAGATGCAAAACGAATAACTCTTTTAACAGTCTCAGAACTAGGTCAGATACTGAAAATAAGTTTGATCGCCAGAAACAGATGTGGTTAATAAAACTGGTGTCGTACACTTACCGAATTTTGTAGCTGCGTCAATAACGCTGTGTTGGCGGGATCGGCAAGCTCCACAGCGCCTGCCACCTGAAACAATCCTCATATTAAATTAAACAGGTCAATTGTTCCTGCCAGAGGAAATACTATCACGGCTACACGAGTTTGTGCGTCATCTGTAGTACTCCTGGACGCATACTTGGTTTTCATAACTTTGTCAAATACTCGATTTGGGGAATCGCCGCAAAGTTTTATTGTCGCAATTACTTTACGAATGCACACAATTAGCAATTTTTTGGAAACGATGCGATTAATTTACTATTCAATAATTTCTCTTTCATAACGTTAGCGGTATCAATTCGGATCGAGCATTGTTTTTCGTGAATAGATAATTATTTCTAAGGCTCTTTTAAAGCACACCCTATATATACGTAATAGGAAAACAACGTTGTAAAAATTGTGAAACGCAATGTCGACGGGTAGGTTAGGCTCATGGCTCATCCATTATTGAATTAACTGGTAGTAGAGCATATTATAAGCCCGTCCGAGTGACAACACCATCCTCCATATTTCTGCGGTGAAGCAGTCGTGTTCGCAAACATGAAGCGGTTTGAAGGGTGAGACTGACATTATCTAATACAATTAGGAATTTCACCACATGTGTTAAGGGTTCCGTTAATTATTTATCATCAGGTAAGTAACGAGCTCGTGCATCAAAATGATTAAAAAAATTATTAGTGAATTCTGCTGCCCTCTTTGAATTTGAAATTCAAGTCACAATCACAGTCAGTTTCGCGGTAGGCAGTGGCTTGGCCCTGCCCCTGGCATTGCTGAAGTCCATGGGCGACGGTAACCACTCACCATCAGGTGGGCCGTATGCTCGTCTGCCTATAAGGGCAATAAAAAAAATTCCACTTTAATAACTAATTTACCAAGAGGCCAATACTTCTACATGACTTAGTAGACAAGCGAATAATCATAATGTTTATTTAATTCCTAGACAAATAAGTCTGATTATTTCATTATTAGATAAACGTTTCGGCAATGTGAGATGAAGTCGCAAATACCAGTTGTCGGTTCGAGGTCAGTGCGCCATAGCCACCGCTTCTATATCGCTGAAACGTGAGGTGTACAAAAAGGTCATTCCTAAGCCTTGTAATCATAATCATTTTAGCATTATTTGGACTAATGTTTCCTTAGTTGTGCGCACGAGGTGCTCGTTACGAATCTAGCCGTATTATTTCTTGGTATCTTACTATATCTATACTAATGATATTATAAAGCTGAAGAGTTTGTTTGTTTGAACGCGCTAATATCAGGAACGACTGGTCCGATTTGAACTCTTTCAGTGTTAGATAGCCCATTTATTGAAGGAGGCTATAGGCTATAACATCACGCTAAGACCAATACAAGCGGAGCAGCACCAATAAAGAATGTTTCAAAATCAGGGTTTTTTTCCCTTTTGAGTTTCCGCTGCGTGCGCTGCAGAAACGGTTAAAGTTTCGTTAAAGTAATGTATGAGAGAATTGTTCCCCTTTAAAAGATCTAAAAAAAAGTCCGCGACAGCATGTCTATATGTTAAGGTTGGCTCACTATAACGTTTTTATGCTAACCAACTTTGTTCTAAAGTAAAGAATTATTTGTGAACTATTCCACGCGGACGAAGTCGCGGGCAAAAGCTAGTCTAACTATAAATTATCATGAAATTTTGTTTGATCATGATGCATTCACGTATCTGATTTAGTTAAAGCTTTGTACAGTTGTTGTAATTGGTACTCATAGGAGGATGTGGACCATCGAAGTACGCAAGTATTTATAACAAACTATTTAATATGTTTCATATATGTATGTACGTTTAGAGATATCACAATAGGACCATAATTCACACTGAGTCGAAAACCGGCTCAGGGGCGCAAAAAGTGGGATAAACCTTGGTCCAGCTGTGGACAAGTGTGGGCTGATGATGGTGATTACGCCAGAGACAAGGCTGTGTTTGGCTAGACTACTTTAAAAAGTCCGCTACGGCATTTATCTTGTCTTGTCATGCTATATAGATAAACAAACCCATTCTATCTTAGGGGATTAAAAAAAATGAAAACAAGAGTTGCTATAATAATGCAACTCAATATTAACATCTAAAAAAAACTGGGCGCTACTTTTTGTCCAGTTTATGATAATTTATGAAGATTCTAGAAAAAATTACCGAAAACATAAAATATTGAAATCGACTTGATAAGGCATACACTGATTTTAATTCGTATTGTAAAGATTACGGTTCAATTAAAAACATTATGTACTATTGAATTTTGATTGTTTATTACACGTTAAAATTTGAAACTGGTGTCAGTTTCAAACTTTAGAATTCAAACAGCAATGTCAGAATTCCAAAGTTTCAGTCAGTAAAGAAATAAGGGCGCTGTTACGTCAAACGAATAAAGTACGCGTCAATGATAAAAATAAATGTTTTTTGGAACACATATCGCTTTATTGCATTTCAGGTATTATAGATTTGTATGGAAATTCAGATTTTAGTTTTATTGATACTCATGGTCCACAATCCCTCCCTTAGAAGTGTTCTAAAAACGATTGAACAAAGTTCGTTCATTAAGAAATAAGTCAAAAAATAAAACTCGCTGTTTGGAAGCTTCCGTGCATATCTACTTTTAGCTCTTTGTGTTCTTTAGTTGTGATAAGACTAATTTCCGAAGTCACACGGCAAGCCCGTAGCCCATTACTTTCAATTAGTTAAGGGGATCCATCGGACGTGGTAAATAACGTGGAAAGCGATTGCGTCCGGTTTGCTGTTTCCCTGTAATTGATTATTAGACATCAGTCGGTTACGTCAGCATCCGTCTCCCGTGCGCGGTTCAGTTTACTGTCGCAATCTTATGAGTCTATATTATATCAGTCTTCGTCACGCGAATGCTTCGTTTTGAACAAAATGTTCACCAATATGAATTTGTTTGGAAACTTTGTATGGTCACAAAAAGAAGAGACCATCAGACAATTTTAGAATGCCCGTTTTAAAAATAATAATAAAACGGTTTCCTAGTAACGTTTATTATTATCAAGAAAATTTATATCCAACAAGATGCTATTTAGTTTCTTTCCGAGGCAATTAAGTTCAGAAATAAACTTGAACTATTAAAAGTTAACATAATAGCTGTTTAGTAACAATCTGAAATATGCATCAAATCCCTCTCACGTACGTCAGCCACTTTGGATACCGCATAGCCGTAAAAATAGCCTCAAAGCACTACTCACGAGCACGAGGACTGCAATCGCCCTCGTTCGTGTTGGCTGATCGACTCCAGAACCTCACTTAAACACGTTTATTAGGTCGATCAGGAAACAGCAAAGTCATAATGCATAGTTTATTTTCATTCTCGCATCTGCAACGTTCTGTCTATTCAGATTTAGAAATCGACTGACGAATGACGAATCAAAGGCCTCAACTCAAAGAAACGTTCAATAAATAAGTTTGAAAAAAAAAAACAACAGAAAAGTGATTTTTATGAAACAGTACTCGTTTAGACAAAAGTAATGAACCCGAACTCTATGAGTATAGTAGGTAACTAAGTAGGTTACTGTAGTAGGACTTGGTATGTTTCATAGTGGCGAGTCGTCAATAGTTACACGAAAACAGTTGCTTATGGTTACGAGGACTTTGAGATCGTATACATCTAAAACCATTATAATAAAATACATTTTATTGAAGTCTTTACGACCTGTAGTTTTCTTGTGAACGAGATAAACCTTCCTTCATGGTTGAATTAGAATGTATTCGTTCGTAAGATAGCCGTTGGTCATTTTTCAAACTATTCATTGTGGTGATCTTAATGGATATCTTTACAATACAAATTTTATGAAAGCGAATAACAGATTTTCCTTATGAAATCTATATATGTATATAAAAATGAATTGCTGTTCGTTAGTTTCACTAAAACTCGAGAGCGGCCGGACCGATTTGGCTAATTTTGGTCTTGAATTATTTGTGGAAGTCCAGAGAAGGTTTAAAAGGTAGATAAATATCAAAATGCTCGGAATTAAATAAAAATAACAATTTTGTTTTTCCTTTGATGTGTCCCCCGTCGGACGGATTCCTTTTGTTTGTTTTAAGTTTATTTTATACAAATGTTAGGTCTTTTACTTATCGATTGAGGCACTACGAAGTCTGCTGGGTCAGCTAGTTTCACATAAAAATGTTAGTATGTTCTACGATATTCCGATTTCAAAAATGTTTCTGTAATAGTTTGCAGAATTAGATATGAAAAATTTATTAATTTATTCATATTTAACATAACATAAGGTATTCCGTCACAAAATTTTGCATGTGCACATAAAATAATGTGGTTAAGTGTTCAGAAAAATTTTTAAACGTCCGATGCTGGAAAGACAAGAATTGCGGTATCATTTCAAAGGAAACCCGTGAAATTAAGTGAGCGCTTAATTTATTTCCACGAGCGCTCAGAGATACGAATTTCGAACATCTCAATCAAAGGGACGACGTCGGCTGTCGGTACAAATTGAGGCGTGAAACTTGAAATAAAACCGACACATTCACTTTCCACACTGACTTACCTACATTATGTCTTCATTTTTGAAAGGACCCGACATTTTAGTAAAAATGTTCACCAAAATTGACATGTTAAGACGTAACACGTTTTAATACTGTAAAATTTGCAGAGAAAATAACCAGTATGTTACTTGATATTGCAGAAAGGGCTCCGTAAATTTTACTTACAAATTTATTTGTTGATATTTGAGCATGACAACCGGCTGTGTGAAAGTCTCGTGCACAGATAATACACAAGTTTGTGTAATTCTATTGTCATTTTCATAGTTATATTTACAAAGATTAGCTTCGCTCTGGTGCTCCGGCTAATGTCTTATGAGCGTCATCAAGTAAAGTACAGATGTAGTTAAATCTACTGCGGGAAACACGCTTGTCTAATAGTATCTTCACAGCAAATTATATTCACATTACAGTATAAATGTTCCATGAAATTTGGTTGATACAATTCCGGAAACTCTGTAACAGTCTTCCTTTTTAAACAATCGTTATCTAATTTTAAGTGGTTATCATTGAA